AAAAGGGATAACACAATCGGAGTGTTCTGTATTGTAATTACAAATTCATGACTAATTTGGATTTCCAAATGTACTTCCCCTTGCAGATCCTCAAAAGAAAGATCTTCCAGAGACAAAGAACGATCAAAAGATAGTGACAGAACATCACGTGACAAAGACAGAAGTTCAAGAGAGAGGTCACCCCGAGAGCAGAAAGACAGGAAACGTTCCTATGAAAGTGCTAATGGACGATCAGAAGACCGGAGAAGCTCAGAAGAGCGTGAAGCAGGGGAGATATAACCGTGGCTGTACATTCACCTGATCTCTAGCTTCCTATGGAGTTGCATACTATGGTTTAGTTTACAATTTAAAGGGACACCATTGAGCAGTTCCAGACACTGATCCAACTAGGGTAGATGTACAGTATATAAAAGCGGTTATAACCAACTATAAATTTAAATCCTCTTCAATTGATGCCTAAAGCTGTGTCCTTGATTCCACCAAGATGTAAAACTTTTTTGAAAGATTTATCTCTGTTCAGGACAACAGTTTTATGTACCATGGTGCGATCTCAATGTTTTAATCTCCTTTTAAGTACAAGTTAAATAGTGAACAAATTATATTGTACTTCTTGCCTTGGGTGCTCTCAAACCTTTATAAAATTCTCCAATTCTGTTCCAGTCCAAACAGCCGCATTGAAAGGTTTTGTTTTTTGTTTTGTTTTAAGAGGGTGGGTGGGTACTAAACTTTTATTCTAAGGTTATCTTCCCAGCAGTAGTATGGGAACCTAGGAGTTGGTTACAGGGGGAGCATTTAGACTGGAATATGTGCTGGAGAATGCTGAAATGTCATTTTTTACAGTGCCTATTTAGACTTGGAAATTGAGCAGCTGTTGCATTACATCTTTACTTTTACTAAAATTCTGAAATCAAAGCCAGTCCCACATCTCTGTACCATTCATTTGGTATGTGTTTAGTATATCGGGGTTTTTTCCATAAAAACTTTTTTCTGCTTTTTCTTGTGGGGTGTAAACTGCACATCCTTAATTGTAATAAAATAAAAATAAAAAAGGAAATGTCTTGTCCAGTAAATCAAATTGAGCACATCGATTTCTCAAGTTATGTGCTGCTAATTGTATTTCTCTTAACAGGTCAGTCAAAGGTGGAGAATAAAAAACAGTTCCGAACCCTCTCATTTGGAGGAATTCATTTAAAATACACGTCTCTGTACTACTGAAGAAGATGTCTAGTGAAACATAAGTTAAATCGTCATGATTTGAAGGTCATTAAATAGGCAAATGTTCTTAAAATCCTAGTGTCCTGTCTGTTACTGATATTTACCCCTAGCAGCTTCCACTTGAAAAGTTCGTCCACATTATCAAAAAGTAAAGGCTACAGCCAAACTATTTTTAAATGTGACTGCAGTAAATATATAGGGGTGGATGATAGAGTTGTGGTGCCTGAAAGGAGGCTAAACTTAATGACTTGGGGCATTGTATCCAATCTGTGTTCATCTTAAAATGTATACTGTTATCGATGGAAGTCAGAGTAGCTTTCAGACTAATTGAATCAGAGATGCATACGCTTTCGTGAGCAAGAGCTTACTTCATCAGATGGAACTGTGGCATTACCAACCCCTTCTTGCCTTTCATTTAAACAAAAAAAATGCTTTAAAGAGTCTGAAAAGGTGGTCATGCTCCATTCTGTATGAATAAAAGCAACCTCTATAACCCTTCATGCCAATTGTGAACTTTTCTGTTGCACAACACCAGAAAAATAGTGCAGACGAAAATAATAGTTCAATAGGCTCCTTTCTTGATCAGCTCTCAACCTTTCAGAAGTTCCCTAACCAAAGTGCTTTGATGTCTGACTTGTCACTGACCAGTTTTCTGAGAAGTTCCACCTGTCCCCTATGACTGGGAGCCAACCTGCCTCGTGCCACAAGTGGCATGGTCAGCGTTTGTATGTGGCACCTAGCAGACTGGGGAGGGGACAGGCAGTATGCTGGTAGATTGGGCAGAAAGCAGAACAGCAGGGCTGGTATGGGAAAGGGATCAGTGTAGCATTCAGGGAAGAGTGCAGCGCTAATTTGTGGCATGTCTTTCAAAAAGGTTAGCCCTCGCTGCCTTAGGACATCCTTACCTGTTTGTAATTGAAGTTTGTTCTTTTCAGGTGGCAAAGATCATGTTCTTTGTGAGAATTATTCAACCCAGGTATGTATAAAATTCCGCCTTCGGTTCCCAAGAGTGGCACAGTTAACTTCTTGTGGTAAGCTGTTCTGTAGCATTGCTGTACAATATGCACATTTCATCCCAAGGTTGCTAAGAAAGTGAAATGCTTGTGATCCTTCAAGATGAAAGGCACTGCAAGATCAAAAATAATTCTTGCTTGGTGGCAGCAGAGATGAACCATTTTACATAGGCGACATGGTGCTGATACGTTACTTCTTTTTTTTCTTTCCTTTGGTACTGTACGCACGAGCAGCCAAATAAAGAATTCAGACCACCGTTCAGTTTGGACCCCACTACAGCATACTGCCTCAATTTGTTGCTGTTGGGATCATGTCCATGAGCAGTGAAATCCCTTGGAATTAGAGCCCTCACATGGAAATGCGTTTCACATATAGCTTTTGTCTGGTAAGTTTATGTTTGGACATGAGGGGTGGGAAAGGCGGGGGGCGGGTGCGGGGCCCACAGGGTCAAGGCTGTGCAGCATGGGTTCCTGCCAGTACCACGGGGCTGGGGCCAGTGGCGCCAGCAGCCAGAAGGAGCCGCCTGCTAGCTGGGCTGCCTAGAAAGGTAGTCCTGCTGTAGGACCCCAGCTCACTGTGTGCCCAAGGCAGCAGGATGTGCCACGGGTGGGCAGCGTAGAGTGGGCCGGGTCTGGGCTGTGCCTGGGTTCCGGCTGATCCGCTCCAATGAGGGCACACTGTTGGCAGTGGTGCGGAGGTACCACAGGGCGCATGGGCTCTGGGCTGTTGCAGGGTGGGTGCTAACTGGCTCAGGAGGCGCATGCGAGGGGCTCCCATGTACACCCCACCATACCCGTAAACCCTACAACCACACCTCCACACACAATCACACTTCTCACAAACACTACACCCATTCACACCCTCCCCCCCACACACCCCTCCACATGCCTCTGGGGGGAGCTTCATGCACTGCTACACTCGCGCACACATGCATCCTCCTGATTGACATGAGTTTTTAGAGATGATTGCCAGTGGCTCTGCAGTCTCATCAGCCAACTCCCTCAGCACCCTTGGGTGCATCCCATCCAGCCCCATGGACTTGTTCTGTCCAGCTTTTCTAATTAGGTCCTAACCTGTTTTTTGCCACTGTTGGCTGCTCACCTCCTCCCCAAACTGTGCTGCCCAGTGCAGTAGTATGTGTGCTGACCTTGCTGGTAAAGACTGAAGCAAAAAAAAGGCGTTGAATACTTCAGCCTTTTCTGCATTCTCTATCACAAGGTTGCTTCCCTCAGTCAGTAAGGGACCCACATTTTCCCTTATCCTCCTCTTGCTACTGACATACTTGTAGAAACATTGTGCCCAAAGGGGCTAAATTAGATATTTGGAGTACCCACAGCCAAAATAGAGCATTGACGGAGTGTATATAATTGCCTGGGGTATCAGAAGGCCTCTGTCACTGATCTTAAGGTCTGAAATGGCTGGACTTCTATCCCATGTCCCAAAGAACGATTGCACAAAATATGTGAGCTTATAAATGTGTCCTGTATACCCAGCGTTAGAAACAGCTACTAGTCAAATCTCCCCTGTCCTAATTGCCTTAGAAGCAGTGTGACACAGCAGCCGTGTCTACTTTCGGAAGGCTGGAAGCCACAAAACATAAATCAAAAATAGATGTTAAAAATAGACATGGAAAATGTATATAATCACTTGTAATTGGAGTTACTGTGTAATTAATACTGAAATACTAAGTAGTTGCAGCTTCTGAGTTTTTAAGGCATTAACTTGGGAACTTTTTGTAGATCCTCCTCTATTTCCAGTCTGTCTTATGCTTTGAAGATACTAACATTCTAATTCTTAGTGGCCTTCCATCGGTGGGGAGAGTGCAACCTTTTATTCTGGTGTTAAACATGTAGCATTTCTTGACAATAAGAGATGTTATTGTATATTAGATTTTATAACATTATTTAAAAATGTTGTATTAGGCTGTTGTTTTAGATCTGTTATGATTTCAGTGTTAAAATTTGGGTGTTAGAGGTTTTTTCAGCCACAAATCTCTCTGCTTTAGCAAGATGGCATAAGTGGGGTTGTTTTAACCCCATTTTTCAAACTAGAAAAATTAAGCACTGGGGGTTTTTTTGTTTGTGCTAATTAGCAAATCTGTGACAGAACAAACCTCTCCTGGCTGCCTTTTGTAGTTCCTGGAAGCTCAAATTAGTCTAGTGAAATATCTAAATATTAAATAAACTACTAAGCTTTCTTAAAATCACTCAAGTAATAATCTTCATTAGGAGATGGTCTGATATAACAGCATAGAGTCCATAGAGCAGTTTGTTCTTAGAAGATGTTAGTAAAAAACAAGGAAGCTTTTAAATTAGTTTTAAAATTGTCTCAAATGTATATTTTGAAAATCTGGCTGACTTCAAGTTGTGCATAAAATGATCTTGCTCTATATATCACAGAAGGGAAATTTAAGCAGACTTTTCCATTGATGAAAGTTTCAAGGAAATGGCTCAAAATCAAGATTAATGAAAAGAAAAATCTGAAGTTTACCTTGGCTCTAGATACATGCATATAATATTCATCATAGGTATAATATGCATCAAAAATGCTGCCTCTGATTAGCTTATTATTTTGACTTTGAAAATGGGCAGTATACAGAGGAATGTGTCCTGATGGCTTCTTACATGTTCATGTTGGTATAGAATGAAACTGAGGTCTGTCTGGCTGCAAAGGATATATGAAAAGGGATAACACAATCGGAGTGTTCTGTATTGTAATTACAAATTCATGACTAATTTGGATTTCCAAATGTACTTCCCCTTGCAGATCCTCAAAAGAAAGATCTTCCAGAGACAAAGAACGATCAAAAGATAGTGACAGAACATCACGTGACAAAGACAGAAGTTCAAGAGAGAGGTCACCCCGAGAGCAGAAAGACAGGAAACGTTCCTATGAAAGTGCTAATGGACGATCAGAAGACCGGAGAAGCTCAGAAGAGCGTGAAGCAGGGGAGATATAACCGTGGCTGTACATTCACCTGATCTCTAGCTTCCTATGGAGTTGCATACTATGGTTTAGTTTACAATTTAAAGGGACACCATTGAGCAGTTCCAGACACTGATCCAACTAGGGTAGATGTACAGTATATAAAAGCGGTTATAACCAACTATAAATTTAAATCCTCTTCAATTGATGCCTAAAGCTGTGTCCTTGATTCCACCAAGATGTAAAACTTTTTTGAAAGATTTATCTCTGTTCAGGACAACAGTTTTATGTACCATGGTGCGATCTCAATGTTTTAATCTCCTTTTAAGTACAAGTTAAATAGTGAACAAATTATATTGTACTTCTTGCCTTGGGTGCTCTCAAACCTTTATAAAATTCTCCAATTCTGTTCCAGTCCAAACAGCCGCATTGAAAGGTTTTGTTTTTTGTTTTGTTTTAAGAGGGTGGGTGGGTACTAAACTTTTATTCTAAGGTTATCTTCCCAGCAGTAGTATGGGAACCTAGGAGTTGGTTACAGGGGGAGCATTTAGACTGGAATATGTGCTGGAGAATGCTGAAATGTCATTTTTTACAGTGCCTATTTAGACTTGGAAATTGAGCAGCTGTTGCATTACATCTTTACTTTTACTAAAATTCTGAAATCAAAGCCAGTCCCACATCTCTGTACCATTCATTTGGTATGTGTTTAGTATATCGGGGTTTTTTCCATAAAAACTTTTTTCTGCTTTTTCTTGTGGGGTGTAAACTGCACATCCTTAATTGTAATAAAATAAAAATAAAAAAGGAAATGTCTTGTCCAGTAAATCAAATTGAGCACATCGATTTCTCAAGTTATGTGCTGCTAATTGTATTTCTCTTAACAGGTCAGTCAAAGGTGGAGAATAAAAAACAGTTCCGAACCCTCTCATTTGGAGGAATTCATTTAAAATACACGTCTCTGTACTACTGAAGAAGATGTCTAGTGAAACATAAGTTAAATCGTCATGATTTGAAGGTCATTAAATAGGCAAATGTTCTTAAAATCCTAGTGTCCTGTCTGTTACTGATATTTACCCCTAGCAGCTTCCACTTGAAAAGTTCGTCCACATTATCAAAAAGTAAAGGCTACAGCCAAACTATTTTTAAATGTGACTGCAGTAAATATATAGGGGTGGATGATAGAGTTGTGGTGCCTGAAAGGAGGCTAAACTTAATGACTTGGGGCATTGTATCCAATCTGTGTTCATCTTAAAATGTATACTGTTATCGATGGAAGTCAGAGTAGCTTTCAGACTAATTGAATCAGAGATGCATACGCTTTCGTGAGCAAGAGCTTACTTCATCAGATGGAACTGTGGCATTACCAACCCCTTCTTGCCTTTCATTTAAACAAAAAAAATGCTTTAAAGAGTCTGAAAAGGTGGTCATGCTCCATTCTGTATGAATAAAAGCAACCTCTATAACCCTTCATGCCAATTGTGAACTTTTCTGTTGCACAACACCAGAAAAATAGTGCAGACGAAAATAATAGTTCAATAGGCTCCTTTCTTGATCAGCTCTCAACCTTTCAGAAGTTCCCTAACCAAAGTGCTTTGATGTCTGACTTGTCACTGACCAGTTTTCTGAGAAGTTCCACCTGTCCCCTATGACTGGGAGCCAACCTGCCTCGTGCCACAAGTGGCATGGTCAGCGTTTGTATGTGGCACCTAGCAGACTGGGGAGGGGACAGGCAGTATGCTGGTAGATTGGGCAGAAAGCAGAACAGCAGGGCTGGTATGGGAAAGGGATCAGTGTAGCATTCAGGGAAGAGTGCAGCGCTAATTTGTGGCATGTCTTTCAAAAAGGTTAGCCCTCGCTGCCTTAGGACATCCTTACCTGTTTGTAATTGAAGTTTGTTCTTTTCAGGTGGCAAAGATCATGTTCTTTGTGAGAATTATTCAACCCAGGTATGTATAAAATTCCGCCTTCGGTTCCCAAGAGTGGCACAGTTAACTTCTTGTGGTAAGCTGTTCTGTAGCATTGCTGTACAATATGCACATTTCATCCCAAGGTTGCTAAGAAAGTGAAATGCTTGTGATCCTTCAAGATGAAAGGCACTGCAAGATCAAAAATAATTCTTGCTTGGTGGCAGCAGAGATGAACCATTTTACATAGGCGACATGGTGCTGATACGTTACTTCTTTTTTTTCTTTCCTTTGGTACTGTACGCACGAGCAGCCAAATAAAGAATTCAGACCACCGTTCAGTTTGGACCCCACTACAGCATACTGCCTCAATTTGTTGCTGTTGGGATCATGTCCATGAGCAGTGAAATCCCTTGGAATTAGAGCCCTCACATGGAAATGCGTTTCACATATAGCTTTTGTCTGGTAAGTTTATGTTTGGACATGACAAAAGTGGATAGTTTCTGATCTGTCTGTTTCATCTTGTTTATAACTGTTTTTCTAACCCCAGCCCACTCCCACAACCTCCTGGGGGGAGGGTCATTAACATCTGTGGAGTGAAAAGAGATTAGCAGGAATCGGGTACAGTACAGTCAAGCTATTCTTTCCTTTGTAGTTTTACTGTCTCTTAGCTATCCCTCTTCTGACCTGAAGCAGAATGCCCCGCATTCAGAAGCTTGTTTAAAACTCTTTCAGCTGCACAGTTGGTCCAATAAAAGATATCACCCACAAAAATCCTTGCCTCTCACCATTTCCTGGATCACCATGGCTATACCCTCACTCCCATGCTACCACAAAGGTATAGATCTATATTGTCCTGGGAGCGGGGTGAAGATTGTAAGTCCCCTGCAAAGCTTCGTTTGCAATAGCCTTTGGAGTAAAAAGGGGATGCATGCACAACTGCTGCATGCAGGGCACAGCCAGCCAGCCGGCCAGTCTTCAATGCCCTCGCCTCCACTTCACAAAGAGCAGGAGCACTGAAGGCCCTGGTTTGGCTTTAAAGGCAGCAGTTTGAAATGTAACATATCTTTGAGCCATGTCTCTTCCCAGCTCTCTCTTTTTTTAGGTGATGTGGCATATATGTATCTTCACACATCTTTCTGAGTTAAGGAACTAGAAGATTTACTAATATGCCAAGGGCCTATGGCTATATTTAGTTTAAGATCGAAGCCAAAACTAATTTTTGACTGGAATGTGCATTAATTTGCTATATATTAAGTGTAAATAACAAAACAAACTAGGCAAAAATATCCAAAAAGATGTTGTTTCATTAGTCCTGTAGTCATAGAATTAGCTGTATATCACTTTCAGATTCATAAAACAAAATGTAGCCTCCTTGAGCATCTTGACAGCGCATCCAAAATGTCACTCAGTTATTTCCACACCTGAGTTAATGTTGAACATGGCCAGTTCATTTTCAGTCTGCCCTTTTCTTTTCCGTTCTTTTCTTCCATTTCAGCTATGGGGCATTCTGCTTCAGGTCAGAAGAGGGGATAGCTAAGAGACAGTAAACTACAAAAGAAAGAATAGCTTGACCATACTCTACCTGATTGCTGCTAATCTCTCTTCGCTCCACAGATGTTAATGACCCTCCCCTCTTTTTCACAATCTTGATCTTCCACTAATCAAGCTATCTTTTCCTTTTGTAATCTGTCTCAGCCCTGCAGACTGTTTTTAGCCATGGCCATGTGGAGGGGAGGGGGTTAATTCTGCTTTTGCTGATGTTTTACCTGCCTTCCCCCTGCCCCCCTACTTTTCCCCTCATCCCTCTATATTAGGAGCAAAGGGGATTGGAGAAAAGACAGGCTGTGTGGGAGGCAGGTGAAACAGCAGAAGCAGAATTAATCCTTTGCTGGGAGAAAGAGACCTAGGACAGGTTCTAAAAGTGAAGCGTAAGATCAGCCTTCTATTTCAGCAGTGGCTGTATGAAGGGGAGAAAGGAACCCACAGCGTTCAAGAATTTCTTTTAAAGCCCCCTGGCAGCATAGTGCATTGCATAAATCCAAGGTGGGAGTGCAACTGCCCCCCCACCCCCATATCTCCCCCTGGCTGGGAGCAGTGTCACAAGGCAAATGGTAAGGTGGTCTTGGGTAAATGCTTTGTCCAGACAGCAAAACCAGGTTAGGGCAGGGGTGTTCAGCTTCCTGCCCACGGGTCTGGAAACTTAGCAGTGGCAATTTAATATCACTACCCCTCTCCCACTGCCAGATTCTCAAGCCTGGTGCAGAGGGTCAAAGCAGGCCATGCCCCCTCCCCCTACATGTCTGGATCAGGGCCAGATTGCCCCCCTCCACATGACTATGGGTCCCCACTGGTCCTGCCCTGGGCATCAGACTGGGACCACAGGCTGGATTTGACCCAGAAATAGACTGGGCACTGCTCATTTGGCCCACCGGGTAAAGAGGTTGCGTACCGCTGGTTTAGGGCATAACAGGATTCTCAAGTGGTAATATTTTTAGTGTCCTCCTGTGTGCTCTTCTTACCTTGATGCCCAGTGACTTGTGCCATTTTCCACCTAGCAAGCTTGCTTTCTGTCCTTTGGCAATTATGAGGCAGAGGACCCCTTGATCCTTATAGTGGATGTGAACATCTTTTAAGTCAGCTGCCTGTTTATGGTAGTCAACAAGTCTTGCTTTGCATGAGGCAATAGAAGGACAGGTAGTGTAAGAGAATCCTAATTCAGATCCCCTGCTCCCATGCCACTGAAGCATTAGGAGCATGGAGAAGACAGCCAGCTTCCTGGATGGTCTCCCAAAAAGATAACTGGTTTGTATATGTAGTCTGTCCACTGGGAGGCTAAGCAGGTCCCATACCTTGGGGAACTGCTGATCATTGCTCCTGCTGTCTTCCTGGATAGTCAAAAAGGAACATAAATTTGACTCCCAACAGGGACTGACTGACCCTTTTATACTTCCCTTCCTTCCTGAGGTTGTGTCCATGTCACGTGAAGCATTGCAGGGAGACTTCAGATCTACTAAAAGCACCTCAACGTAGAGCCCTAGTTAGCCAAGCGTTTACCAGAGGTTAGAAAAGCTGAGCTCACCCCACCTAGCCTGGGTAATGGGGGTAGAGAAACTTGTATTTCTTTTTCTGTGTTCTTCTCTTCTCACTTTTGCACCATGTGTACTGAGGGTATTGAGCAAGGAGTACTTCCAGCTGAAGGTCAGCAAACGAAGCTTCAGTATGTGAGGTATTTGAAGCTGGAGTGGGCAGATCTTGGAGAAATAAACCATAGGGCACATGGCACATAGCAGCGTTGGCTGAGAGTGGCTAACTGACCTTGGGTTTTTCTAGCTCTGGCTTCATGGCCAGGGTCAGAAATGCAAGTAACATTAGGCTGATGCTGTGTGAAACATAAAGAGCCTGTCCTGTTTTTCAGAACGGCGCTTTCCCCTTTTCAATTTCTAAGAAATCATCTGAACTGTGTTTAGAGGAAAAGGAAGTGAAAAGAAAGTTATTTTGGGTGTCCTGAGTAGTGGATTGGCTGCAGTTCAACACGCATACTGTCATTTCTGTGTGGGAAGCTTGGGGTAGGGGGTGGGGTGGAAACACTTTTGCTTCACTCTCTTAGCTCCTGAGCCTGGTGAAGATAATAACAGGCATCTTCTTCATTTGTTTCATTTTGGCTATGGAGAATCACTATTCCAAATAGGCTGGGTGTTGGAAACTTTTGGTTCTGTCTATGCTACTGTCATGCAGGAGAGCCTAGGTGCAGCCGGTCTCTAGATCTTAAATGTACTTTAGCAGGGCACTGTAGGGCTGTTTGCCCCAACTGAACAGCTGCTTGGGGCCTGCTCCAATTAACTAGTGTCTGACCTGTCAAACTAACGTGTGTGACCTGTCATAGGCAAGGGAAACTTCCTCTCCACGTCATTGGCCAATGCCAAACACCCTCTTGCTTGGAACACTGGTCGGTGGACAGGACAGATGTTCCCAGACAACCGCAGCCAGAACCTGCCACATCTGGCTGGGGGTTGCCCAATAGGCCAAGGGGTCGCAGTCCAGCGGCTCCAAGTCCTCGGTGGGATAGGTAGCCACTAAAACCTCGCCACTACCTGCCCAAAGCTGGGGTTTGGTGCATCGGGACCCCAACATTGAAGCCATGCCCTTGGCCCACATTGGCAGCAGCTGGTGTGGAGGAGATTGGCTGGTGCTGGGAGTGCTGGCATGGGAAAGTGGATCCCCCTCTTCCATGTCCACTCGTCTCTGCCCTTCTGCCTCCCTGACTGTTCACCAGCACCTCCATCCAGTGATCGAGTGTTTTGGTGCTGCATGTGCTCCCCTTCGCCCTCAGGTGGTATATGCCCTCCAGCACGTGGACCATACTGGACCGCAACAGATCCAGCTGTTTTTCGATGCCCTCCTTCAGCCGCTTCACCAGTGCCTGTGCCTCTGGTGAAAAGCGGCTTGCCCCAGCCAGGAACATTAATCTCCTGGAACGTCTCCATTTGGTTCTCAAGCTCCTTGTCTACCAGGGGATCACCTGGCTACGGAGGGCATCACCAGCACTGAGGGTCTTGGTGGCCTCGAGGAACGGCTTGAGGGCCACCAAGATCTGGGAGATGGTATCCCACTCTGCTTTGTTAAGGGGGCTGCTGACCCCAATCTCCCCAAGCAAGGCCATCTTGTGAATGGCCTTCTGTTGCTCCACCAGCCTTTCCAGCGTCAGGTATGTGGAGTTCCACTGAGTCTCCAATTCCTGCATGATTTTGTGCTGCAGGATGCTCAGCTCTGCCTGTTTGTCCCACAGCATCTTGGCCATCTTGGTGCTGTGGTGGAAGTAGCCTGCCACCTTCCTGCATTTTGAAATCAGCTGGGTGGTAGTGACGGCACTATCACTGGCAGCCCTGTTCCCCTCCAAGGCGTCCCTGACTGACATGCAGCTTGTGTGCCACACAGTGGATGCCAACAAAAGTTGGCATCACGGACCACTTTGACCATATTGGCCCCGTTGTCGGTGACCATGAACCCACAGGTGAGCTCGGCCTGCCCAACGAGCTACCCCTGCACCATACGGTTCTTGGCCACCATGATCTCCTTTGCCGTGGAGGACTCATCCATCACCTCAACTTGAAGGAGAGCCCCCCCGATGGCCTGACTGATTGCACCAGTGCCCTGTGAGTGTGAGGTAGGCATGATCTCCACTCTGGCTGCTTGAGATGTCTGAGGTGAAGTGCAAGGCTACCTGTGGTCCTGCCTTGCACAGCTCCTCCCTCAAGTACTCCCTGCATCCACCAGCCTGCTGAAGGTGGTGCACGTAGGCACCTGGTAGGATGGGGCCATGAGCTGCCTGAACCCTGGCCGCTCAGCTAAGGAGAAAGGCTGGCTATTGAGAGCAAGCATCTCCCCAATGCTCTGGATAATCTCACTCACCTTTGGAAAGCGCCCCCCTTTGCGGCTTTTCCCCACCGCTCCAGGGTGGCCTGCCTCTGCTTCTTGGGGATGGGAGCTTTGGAGCGAGAGGGGGACTTCCCTTTTTGTATGCTCCTACTGGTGCCAGGCTGAGGAGCAAAGGGAAGGGGGTGCTGTCTCCTGAGATGCAGCAGCATTGCCGTGATGGTGAAGTGTTTCACCTCCTTGCCCCGGCTGATCTGCCTTTGGCAGTGCTGGCAAATAGCAAACCTGGGATCATCTGCCACCTCAAAATAATCCCACACTACACTACTCCCTGTTTCTGGGTTGAGGGTGGGGATCCTGCCTTATCCCCCTCCTCAGCAGGCAGAGGCACACCAACAGGGTAAGTTGAGTCACCTGCCCCCACAGCCTCCTCTGAGGTGCCTTCCGGAGCAGAAGACCTGGCTCTACAGAAACTTTGAGAGGTGTGGAGCACAAACTCAGATTCCCCCTCGGTCCCCAGAATTTCTTTTGCTAGGGCGCTCAGGTCCCCTGGTTCCAGGTCCAGCTCCTCCCCTGGCAGTGGGAGGCTAACGCTGGGAGATGAAATCAGGGTGGAGGAGACTGTCATTCTGCTGCTGGTGGCTATTTCTGGTGTTAGGGGAGCTAGTGCAGGGACAGGTACTGCTCCAACCCCACCCCCAGAAGACTCAGGGCTGCCAGGAAAGAGAATTCATCTATGTTGGGGGGGGGGCTGTAGTTCTCCCCCCACCCACTCCAGACAAACTCCCTCCCCTGCCAGAAGACCTGGCACCTGCCTTTCCAGCATGCTTCATATTAATTTTTTCTGTGCTGGAAAAGGTGTGTGCGTGTGTATGTGCGCACAGCTGTAGTATCTCTCTTCTCTGATGTATGACTGTCTGACTTCTTCTGTGTTGTGTTTAGTCTGTATGTGTGTGTAACTATATAATATCTCCTTTTTCCTTGATGTATGACTATCTGACTTCTTCTGTGTCGTGTTGAATAATATCTCTTCTTCTCTGGGGTGGGGGGTGTAATGCATGTGCTTTCCTGCTCATGATGGATCACATTGCCAGGGAAAGCACAGCTTTCTTTTTTAAAAGTGTGTGTGTGTGGTGGCGGCGGGACACAAAAACAAATAAGAGATTTTTGGGGGAAGAATAATTTGAAATAAATGGATTGGATAGGGATAAGTCAAGAAATTTTAGTTAGTAAGCTGTATCCAATCCTTTCCAAGAACAGAAACTAGCAGGAGACTGACTAGGTAGGAAGCCAAGCCAGTCCAGTACCTTTCAGACGCTGTTGCTCAGGCAGAAACAGCTCACAAAAGGGACAGAAAGGCTGCAGACAGTGGCTTATATGCTGTTTCTGTGTCCCTCACTGGCCATATTTTGCCCACATCTGCAATAAACCATAGTCTACATGCAAAAACAAAGGGAGGTACTGTTTAAGATAAGCTTTCAAACTTTTATTTATAGTAAATCAACCAAATATCTTTAAATCCAAGGTTTAGCAGCATTTAGCAAAGCACTTCAGTACACAGCATATCACTCTAGTGAAAAATATCCCAAGATATAATTCTAACACAGGGTTGTCAAACTTATTTGGCCCTGCTCTGCATGTAGCACATGGGACTGGTGTGGGTTGTGCACTGCCTGAGGTTCGTAGGCTGGACCTAGTGCTACAGGCAGCACAGTGAGTCATTCCAATCTATTACTCTTGCTTTTCTAACAGGGATGCATTATGGGGAATACAGCGAATATTGCAACTGGTAGAGAAGCTTAAATGTTAGGAAATATGATACTGCAAAATCACAGTATTAGAAGATACAACTGCAAGAAGTACATAGGGTGAAGGAGAACAGGTATGGTTTAGTATGGCACACCAGGTAGCAGGACCCATGGGGAGCACCCAATCCCAATTGGTGGGGCTGGAAGGGGGTGGTACCAACTCCCTGGTGTCCAAGCCAGGGGTGGGAGGGAATGATGTCTGATCCCTAAAACCCAATCCTGGCATGTGGGGCAGGGAGAGTGCGGTGTTGGGCCCAGGCCCTGGTCTGGCCCACAGATAGTCTGATCCAGCCCGCAGGGCCAAAAGTTTGAGAACAACTGAGATAAGTAATTTTACTTGACTACATCAACCATAGTAGCCTGAATATTCTAATTAAGGAGTCCCTTAGTCATCATCCCTACTACTTTGTGAACTGTGGATTCTTTACATTGTTAAAAAATCTATCATAACTGTCCAACTTTGATTGGAAGTCAGATTGGTAACTGTGGCCTTAAACTCTGTCAGCCCAAATTTAACATCCAGTCTCACCCGGCGCTTTCTCCCCAGCTCTGGGTTTGGCATTGGTACAGTACAGGAGCCAAGCATTTTCATCCCTTCCTCATCTATGTACTTTGCATCCTCCTTTTCTGTACAGTAGAACTGAATACACGTTCTTGTCTGATCTGGTTCCACAGGAGTGAAAGTGTAATGGGCAGCTTCATCTATCTTTACCAAATCCCCAATTCCTACCAATTCCATAAAGAGGTCTGTGCAGTACACATAATTATTGATTTGTGAGACTCTTTTTCCTTTCATCGTGGACAGCTGCATCAAATGCACGGGATACCGCTACTCCATATGTCCGTGCACTGATTCTTGAGGCAACAATTTGTGAATTGTGCCCAAACAAAACAGCCCCCTTAACAATGGCTGCCTGGGCTTCCATGGGACACAGGATAGAGTAGCGCTCACTGAATGTGTGGTAGATCTCATCTCTCAGAATAATGCTGGAGGCAAATCCCCCAACAAGCAAAATATACTGGATTGTAGCCATCTCGGGTTTCCTGAGGATTTCCTTCAAAGCACCAATGATTTTCCCAGTGCCGTACGCAAAAAAGCTCTTCATTTTCTCATACGTAATCATGATGATCCCATCATGCCAGTGAGTTCCTTCCATACCACTGAAGAAGAGAGAGATGTCTTGCTTCTGTTCAGCCACTCTTATTAGGTTGGAGTAGCAATGGAGGTAGACATCATCTCTACTAGAAGAACATTTTTGGAGGCCAAAGTTGTACATCATTTGATGGAATTCTGTTGGATATTTTTTTATGTATTCATCCCATATTCCTCCGTAGAATATTCCCCTCAGGAAGTCTTTGAAGTTTTCATCCACTGTGTTCCCTCCCCATCCACCTCCAGATGCCTTATGCAACTCCTTTAGGGTTTTACTCTGTTGGATTTCATGCACTGTGATGTCTATTGTACCCCCTAAACACCAAAGAATGAAAAAAGTTTGTTAACTTGTTTAAAAAAAAAAACCTCTTTGCCTTGATTTTTATCTGAAAAAAATTGAACTTTAGAAAAGTTTAAGCTCTTCTTTAAAAAAAAACCAAACAATCCACCCAACCTCCCACTTTTCAGACCTATGTCTCATAGCTAGTGCTTAAGAATTTGTTTAGATCCAGACCTTTTGCTGGGGGAATTTTGTTTCTATGGAGATGACGGACCTGATATTTCATCTCTTTTGCAGAACTTCTTGGGAGGACTGAAATTGGGGAAACCTGTTTAGATCAGGGTTTTGTTTGGCAGAGAAGTCTGGGAAACAAGATCCAGTCTGCACTTGGCCCATAAGTAGTCCAAGTGTTGTAGAGGGAGGCTGGAGCTTCTGGGGTACTAACCCCCAGGGATTATAGCAGTGGTTTATATGGCACTTTTCCACACCTGTGACTATTCTGCATTTAATGAGCAGTCTATGCATACATTTTGGAAAAGTGAGAACTGAATAAGTGTGTAACCACTTTTTATAGTGCTGAGACAACAGTTAAACAATGCTCGTTGCAGGCTGAAGGGGGAAAAAACCATTACCTCCACAATCAACGACAATGTACCGAGTCCCAGGTGACTCTTCAAACTTCTCTCTGTGGCTACCTTCTGCCACAAACCCATACTGAGGGAGCTGCTTGCACCAGACAAATGCAGCCTCTGGTTCCAAGCCAATGATGAGCTTCTCTGAAAACATGTCAGTGATAAGCCCCGCCTAAAATTACAAATTACTTAAAATTAAGTCAGGAATGGGTCTCAGATCTTTCCTTCCCACCTCTGAGACATAACTTGAACATAGGGCATGGACCAGACATTTCTACTTGCAAGAATGGGCATCCTGGATTAATGGTCTAAGGCAGGGGTCAGCAATGTGGGGTGGGGGAAGGGTGGGGATAGAGAACAGAGCCCTCTGCCACAAAGGTCCCCCAGCATCTTGCTGACTTAGGGCTCAGGGAGGGGCCCAGGCCAGGTCCATGTGGTACAGGGTCTCCCTCCCTCTTTCCCACCCCCCCATCAGCCCCAGTTCCCAGCACAGCAAAATGTGAGGCAAGGCAGCAGCCAGCAGCTGCAGCACAGCTGCCAAGAGGCTTGGTGCAGGGAGTGGGGGCAGTTTCCCTCCCATAGGGACTGGGCCCAGCCCCCACCCCCAGGACCCCACCTAGCAAGCTGTGGGAGGCTCTCATGGCAGGGGGCACCATTTCCCACCCCCTTCCCTCCCCAGCTGCTGCTGATAGTTGCAAGCTAGTGGGGGGGGGCACTCTGGCAGCCTCCTGGCAGGCAGGACCCCCTCCTCCCCCCTCCAAACAGTGCATATCTGTTCAGCTGGAAGATGCTCTAATATCTAGCACTTTGGGTAAAGTGCAATAGTTATAAGTAGCTTGAGAGCCCCCTCCTGTACTACCTTCCCCATCACCCTGTGGCGCAACGTTTTAAGAGTTTTAAAAGGAGGCTTGTTGACAGGATGAGAAATCCCTGCCCTCTGAGTGGTGCCAACTGTGGAGAATCTGAGGGGAGCAATCGAGCTGTTACTCCTTTACCTCTTTTGATGCCAATCTCATGAACTGTCTGGCAGAGGCATCCCATATGGCTGGAACAGTAACAACCCAAGTGACATCCTCCGGCTCACAGGCAGTTTGGAATGTGGCCTCCCCAATGGTTTTTAGGGCATGGTCCTTCATGTAACACAGACTCTTTGAGAAGACAGTCAGGGCAGGGAGCGTCCTTCCATTATCTGCTTCCAGCTCCATGTTGGAGGTGATTTTCTACAAGTGAAAAAAAGAAAATAGCAACAAATGATTAGGTAGTGCTTGGGGCCCTCAGAATGGACCATGGCCTCTTTGTGCTAAGCGTTGTGTCAAATGTGTAGCAGACTGGTGGCTCCTGCAGTCTTAAGTAGCCACAACGAGCCTGTAAAGGCTCAGGTACACTCTAAATCTCAAATAAGAGGGATGGGAAGGAGTCCCAGGCTCTTCACATCCAAGTTCATGTGCAGACTCAGGGTTTGCTTGATAAATAAATTGGAGAACGGGGACATAGCACAATGAAATTTAACAAAGCCAAATGAAGGTGCCACATCTAACGAAAAGAAATGTATGCATACAGAACTGGCGGTAACTGGTAATACTGTAGCATTGTTGAGAAGGATCAGGCGTTTGTGTGGTGTGAGGGAGACAGACGCATGAAGCCATGGTGAGTTGTAACCTGGCTCCCGCTGGGGACTGTCCAAATGTTATTACAGTCCACTTAGTACAGCCTGCCTAGTGGGTGCAAAGGACCAGGACTCTGATCACCAGGAATCTTAGTTTTCCGTTTGCCATGGAAAATCGCAGAAAAATGTGGTATCTGTGTTTTTCCACAACCTACCAAAAGCACAATGGCATTGTAGTGCTATTTTTTCTCTCTCATTTTTACTATGGTTTTTGCCTCTTGGCCAGTCAAGCAGCAGGAGCGCCGGGTGGGGGTACTGATTGGATGAGAGGCAAAAACCGCAGCAAGAATAAGAACAGAAATGGCACTGCTTGCCATGGGATGCTGCCGCGCTCTTGGTAGGTCACAAAAAGATGTGCCTTTTTGTAGTTTTTTAAACAGATTTTCTGCTTTTTTTCTCCACAGGAAACTAGACTCCCTAGTCCTTGCTCCACATCTCCCTTTATTTATAAGATAACAAAACATTATAAATGTGTAATAATAACTCAGAGCCCTTAAAACCATTTACAGTGCTATACCAACTAACTAATATGTATACCTAAAACTATGAATAGCTGTTTAAAGGTCAAGTCTTGTCCACTCACTTTTCCAGACCTTGTTGTAACCCAGGGGTGGGCAGAATATGGCCTGCAGGCCAGATCTGGCCCATGGTGGGTCTTTGTCCGGCCCATGGTGGGTCCCTCAGTCCTGCCTGGCCCAGGCATAGTCCAGCTGCAGCGGGTCCTGCCGCCCCCTGGGCACATGGCGGGCTGGGGCAGCCCCACAGCAGGACTGCCTTTTTAGGCAGCCCCAGGTGGCAGGTGGTTCTTTCTGGCTGCTGCTGCCACTGGCCCCAGGCCTGTGGTACTGGTGGGGACCCGCACTGCACACCCCTGACCTTGTACACCCTGTACCTGCTCCGAGCTCACCCACCCTCCTTCAGCAGCAGCAGCAGCATGGGACAGAAGCTGCTGATCAGTATGGGGTAAAAGCAGCTCCTCCCCCTAGCCACTACCAGCACTTCCTGTTGTAGCATCCTGGAGCCCATGCGGGGCTGTTCTGAATCTATGCCGTGTCACCGCTGCCTCTGGGCTACACAGCAGGGCAGTAGTGGCAGCACAGAGCAGACTCAGGGCAGCCCTGCACAGGCTCCAGGCGGCTACACCAGGAAGCGCTAGCAGTGGCAAGGAGGGGAGACCATTTTTACCTCACACTGAGCAGCTTCTGTCCCATGCCACCGCTGCTGAGCCTGGGTAGGCAAGCCTGGAGCAGGTGCAGGGCACACAGGGTCAAGGCTGTGCAGCATGGGTTCCTGCCAGTACCACGGGGCTGGGGCGAGTGGCGCCAGCAGCCAGAAGGAGCCGCCTGCTACCTGGGCTGCCTAGAGAGGTAGTCCTGCTGTAGGACCCCAGCCCACTGTGTGCCCAAGGCAGCAGGATGTGCCACAGGTGGGCAGCGTAAAGTGGGCCGGGTCTGGGCTGTGCCTGGGTTCCGGCTGATCCGCTCCAATGAGGGCACACTGTTGGCAGTGGTGCGGAGGTACCACAGGGCGCATGGGCTCTGGGCTGTTGCAGGGTGGGTGCTAACTGGCTCAGGAGGCGCATGCGAGGGGCTCCCATGTACACCCCACCATACCCACAAACCCTACAACCACACCTCCACACACAATCACACTTCTCACAAACACTACACCCATTCACACCCTCCCCCCCACACACCCCTCCACATGCCTCTGGGGGGAGCTCCATGCACTGCTACACTCGCGCACACATGCATCCACCCCCCTCCACAAACCACCCCATGCACACCTCCAGCCACCCTTCCCCCTCATGCACCCCACAACCCCCCACAAACCCCATACCCACATACCCCCACAAACCCCCCATACCCACCCACATCCACACACCCTCAACACCCCACATACACACATCTACAGCCCCCCACGTATCCTATGCCCGCCCACACTTACCCCTCACCCTTCCACACAACCCCCCACAACATACAAGAGTAAGACTGCATTTTGAGTTATTATGCAATCACCTTTATATACACAACAAAACACACACAAATCAAGGCAAAAATATTTTTTTTAGTAAAATTAAAATATGCTGTTGTCAATATTTGATTTTTAGTATATAATTTGTTTTTTCCAGTTCTAAGATGGCAAATTCTCCTTCCCAAAAGGAATACTCCTCGGGGCAAGGGGAAGGACTTCTGGTGGCAAAAGCGGGGGTTAGGGAGCAGGACTTCCAGTCCCAAGATGGCAACTAGGGGGCGGGACACCTGTCAATGTGTGGGGTTACCCTTGCAGCCCTGGACAGCTCACCAAAATTCCTTAAATGACCCTCCAGCCAAAATAATTGCCCACCCCTGTCCTAACCTCTTTAGAGCTCCTGCCTCTAACTGAGCCTTCTTTCTAACTTCCTTGAGGAGAATCATTTTCATGCTCTGCTCCTCTCCCTATCTTTAGTTGATCCTTTTTATATTGAGGTGAAAGATGTTGAACATGAACCCTATTTCTCTGGAGAATGCCTTTTGGAATCCTCCACTAAGTAGGAGCTAGGGGTGTTAAGAATATTATCAAAAAATAATTTTAGATAAATGCATGAATGAGTGAATGAATATGGTATCAAGCATACCCAGTCTACTGAGAAAGTAGCCTTGAGAACAAACAAACCATCTACAAGAAGATAAAGAGCAAGCAGACGCCTTGTTTCCCCTGTCTCAGGATGTTGTAAATCAAAAATTTGGCGAAAATTACTGGCGTCCCTCCCATAAGATCATCACATCCAGAGGCACCGCAACTGGCCATCATGACTGAAACTGAGCACCAGTGGATTGGCCTGTGTGTATGTGTGTGTGAGTATGAATGGTTTTAAATAAAGCATTGCTTTTCCCCACTTGATCTATGTGTGTCACTCAATAAAGATCTTGGTTGCTGAACCCATGCGTTGGTCTTTTGTCCAACAGGGGTGTTTGCTGTCTTTTGGACAGTTCCAAGCATTTGAGAACTCTTGAGCCAAAGTGGGTCCCCCCTGGCAGCAGCAGCTCTGGTAGTGGTTTAGTTCTGTGTCTAAAACTGATTTTTTTTTTTTTTGGCTGCTGAAGTTTAATGATCAAGCTCTATGATCACTCCATACTCGGAGCTTGGGGAAGAGAGGCACTAGAAGACAGGCCTCCTTGTCCTTGGAGCTGCTTTGATCAGGGAAAAAAAGATCAGGTTCATATGAGGAGCTTCTATTGAATATTTCTATTTTGTTCAGAGGCTAAACTGTCTGAAAAAAGAGGCTGCAGAGGGTTTGGGTCTGGTGTTTATACCTAGTTTTCATAGATTTCATAGACACTAGGCCTGGAAGAGACTTCAGAAGATCATTGAGTCCAGCCCCCTGCCCAAAGGGCAGGAAGTCAGCTGGGGTCATAGGATCCCAGCAAGATAAGCATCCAATTTACTCTTGAAGGTGTTCAATGTAGGTGCTTGAACCACATCCGATGGCAAGCTGTTCCAGACCTTGGGGGCTCGGACAGTAAAGAAATTCTTCCTTATGTCCAGCCTGAAATGGTCTTGCAGTAGTTTATAACTGTTCAACCTTGTCATCCCTTGGGGCGCTCTGGCGAACAAACATTCCCCCAGATACTGGTTGTCACCCCTGATAAACTTATAGGTGGCCATCAGATCACCCTTGAGCCTGTGCTTTTCCAGGCTAAAGAGCCTCATAGATCTCAGCCTGTCGTCCTAAGGTCTGTTTTCCTGACCTCTGATCATTCACGTGGCTCTTCTCTATTCTCTCTCAAGCTTCTCCACATCCTTTTTGACTTGGGCCCAAAACTGGATGCAGTACTCCAGCTGCGGCCTCACCAAGGCTGAGTACAAGGGGAGAATGGCATTTCGGGATTTGCTTGAGAAGCATCTATGGATGCAAGCCAGCATTTTGGTCACTTTACTAGCCGCAGCATCGCATTGCAGGCTCATGTTCATCTTGTGGTCAGTGATGACCCACAAGTCTCTTTCTTCTGTAGTACTAGCCAGCGTAGCACTGCCAAGCCTATAAGGATGCTGCAGGTTTTTCCTCCCAAGGTGGAGAACCTTGCATTTTTCAGTGTTAAACACCATCAGGTTTTTATCATCTAACCTCCTGGGCTAGAAAACAGATCAGCAATCTAAATCCTCCCTCCCTTCTCTGAAACTATTTATAGGTAGTTTATCAAATCACCCCTGTTTAATCAATCTACACATTTGCTCATCTTCCCTTATGAGCCAATTCCAGCAACTCCTATATCATAGTAAATGTTCTTGTTAATTGGCCACTGGATACAGCTCCCACTTACCTGGTTGTACAGCTTCATCTTGAAGTTCTGGAAGAAGTACCACTTGGGAGCTTCGCTGGAGGGCAATGTGTTGTACTTCATGACAGCATCATAACCAAACTTCTTAAATTCCTTCTTCTCATTAAAGAGAATGCATGTGGGGGTCTTCACAGTCTTGAACCCATGCTCCATGCCCCAAAACACCTGACGGATTTGGTCTACACATGACTCAAGGGCAAAGCAGTACCCACTGTAAGATGTACCAAAGTCAATGGCAATAATGAACAAAGACTTATCTGCCATGCTTATAACTTAAGAGGCAGAATGCAGTACAACCTGCTAGAACTGACTGCTGCAAAAGTGAAACAGCTTTGTCATTATTTTTGCAAAGCAAATTGCCTTTCACTACAGAAACTTCTTTCTGTTTTTTTGGTTGGGTGGCCAGCAGAATCTATTCCAGGAATAGGGCGGTGGAGGAATGGGTGGTACTTTCTGTAGTAGGGAGGAGACTAATTCTGTTCTCAGAAGAACCTACGCACACCAGGCACCCCTGCCTTCCCATCCTGTTTGTGCAAATGAGCAAGTACTATTCTTTGTTTTTGGAAGAGTTTCCCAGGTTTCTCTGAATCTGGTTCTACTCAGACCAGTTGTCTTCTGCTCCTCTTAATTGGGAGAGTCATTAGATGCTTTGTTAGAAGCATGAGCAGATTTGGAGGGAATACCAGGCCAGGAAGAGCTGAACAATTTAATGCTGGGGCACAGCCGCAATTTCAGATGGAGACGCGCAGGTATGTTGGATGGGGGCAGAACTCAGTGGATTATCACCAGGGATCTGGGTTTTCTGTTTGCCATGAAAAAGCATGGATCTTCTCCTTTAAAGAGCAAAATGCAGGGAACCACAGGTTTCCCCTTGCAGGCTGGCAGAGTTTCAGCCTGCAAAGGGCTGATTGGGCCTAGGGGTGCCGCATGCATATATACTCGTGCATATGCACATGGCAGCTAGGCATGGTGATTGAGAACAGCTCTCTGAGCTCTCTCTAGGTAAGTCTATGGGCATGGGGGCAGGAGTGTGAGCACACAAGTAATGCATTAGGCAGGTGGTGGGGTACATGCCCCCCCAGATGTCTGCACCCACAGTGGGGCGTGGGGCTGCAGCCTGACCGAACCAGCTCTAGACAGGAACCACCTCCACAGCCTAGCGGGTGGGACCCAGCATGGGGCGGAGTACCACACCACCCTGGCCACCAAGGTGAGGCACCTCCTGCCTGCCTGGCAGCATCAGGGGCACAAACTGTGCCACCACTGCTACTGCTACTGCTGTGCCTCCCCTTGGTGGTCATGGTGGTGTAGCTGGTCTGACCCAGCTGCAGCCCTACACCCTGCTGTGGGTGCAGAAATCTAGGGGTGCACATGCCCCACCCCAATGCATTGCCTGTGTCCCCCTCACCCCCCCCAACATGTCACCTGTGCTCTCACCCCCCATTCCCCTGGGGATGGAGCCTGGGGGCAGGGGCAACAGGTTGGGAGTGAGGGGCACATCAGGGCTGGGGGGATTGTAATTCAGGAGTGAGGGGCACTGGCAGGGCCAGGGGGGTCTGTGGGTCAGGAGTAAGGGGCACCAGCAGATCTGGGGGCGGCTGTGGCTTGGGGGTGAGGGGCAACACATGGGCAGGGGCAGGGCATCAGCATATCAGGGCTGCTCAGCATCACAAAGCAGTGGGGGTGGGGGGCAGCCACAGCTGAACCCATGTCCTGTGAAGCAAAGGGAGCAGGGAGAGCTCTGATTTATGCATGATAAAAAAAAAACAAAATTGAACGCCAAAATTTATAGGTATTTAGACTTTATTTTATTATAGTGATTGAGGCACTTGTAGGCTTCCAAAATGCTTTAAAATTGTAAACATGTCCATAAAACATTGTGTTCAACTGATGTCTGTTTATATAGCGGTGTTTTATTTTAATTGCAGAAAAATGTGGATTTTGGGGTTTTTAAATCTGAGAATTTGGGATTTTTATCAGAGAACCTGGGATTTTTAAATCGAGAAAACCAGGATCAGTGGTTATCATATTGTTTTTTGCAAAAGTGATTTTTTTTTTTTTTGGTGCATAAAATAGTTGTGAGGCACTGTAAAGTTCTTCCTACAGTGGGGGTTACATTTAAAGATACCATAAATCACTGGGTTTTGCTAACACTTGCAAATTTTGTTTAAGCATAAGGACCACAAAATTTTGTAACCAGAGCAACAAAGTTGTATATATTCTTGCCCGGGAAAAAAAATCTTAAAGGTGCATGGTTTTGCTCCATTTGGAAAATTACCATTTTTGCTAGAAGCATTTTCACTGAAAAAAAATACAGTTTTTCAACACACAGTGTGAAATGAGAATAGTTTTACTAGTTTACTAAACACTGATGAATTTAACTACTCCTGACCCTTGCTGTTAGTTGAGTTCCCTGCATGACTGCTTCAAGCACGCAGAGAAATGGAGACTGTAAACAGGGACGCATAAGTACAGGAGGTGAGAGTACTTGCTGGTTCTCTTCCAAAATATGTTGCTCACCTAAGGCTTAGAAGCACTGGGTCTGATCCTGCCTTTATTCAAAGAATTAGAGTTTTGATGCTGCTTTCAGTGGGTTTTGCATCCTGCTCAAAAGTGTAATGTGTGTTAAGCATACTTCTAAGCATAAGTATATGTCATGGAGAACCCCTACAGAAACTAATACAGAGAAATAACCACGTTAGTCTGAAGTCAGGCAGAGTGCAGGCACAGCAGGGTGGCACACTATAGACTAAATGAGTCAGAGAGGCTTTTGTAGATAACAAGCTACTTTGTCAGGACAGGCAAAGCATTTGAAAAGTAGGCTGTTGCCTACTAAAGCTTGTGCCCTTCTGAACCAATTAATCTCTGTGGTACAACCCATCCTTGCTTCTTAGGGACCCTAATGAATCACAGCTAAAGCTTTGATATATTCAACAGTATGACATAATTTTAATATGATGTTGAATTGCTGTGTAAGAACATCACTTCTTCACGCTGCAGCTCAACATGCCCAGGCTTGGGTGGGACAGCAAGCTGGGGAGAGGGGCGTTGCTCCTGTGCGTGTGAGGCAGGAGAATGGGACTGGGTAGGAATGGAAGGGAATAGGGGGAGATATTTTTTTTCTTTTCTGAAGATATTGAATGTGGGTTGGGAAGCCAGGCTGGCTTGGAGGGACACTCTTAGTCAGAGGCAAAGGAGTGGAAAGGTTTTTTGAAGGGGGGGGGGGGGGGGGGGGGGAGCTTGGAGGTAGGAGTTTGCTTTGTTGTACTTTCTTGTGTTAATATTTTATTCTGTTTCTATAATTTCATTTGTCTTTTACTGTAAGATGCTCTGAGTGTTTTTTGTTTGTTTGTTTTGGAAAGGGTGGTGTATAAATAAAAAAATAAATAATCATAAACAGAAGTAATAACAGCAGCTGGCAGTGTTACAGAACTGCAGGACTGAAAATAAATCTGCAAAAATGACTGTCCACCAAGCTGGGTATGGAGAATAGACTAGTAAGAAGCTGAGAATGTCTCTCAATGCCTGGGATGTGTAACTAACCCTAGGCTTGCCTTGAGCATCATTTGGTGACTGTGATATTTATTTTTATCTGTGCAGCCCTTTCAGCTAGCCTCCTCGCATGGGCAGCCCCAAAAAGGAGAAAAAAGAGTATAGAAAGCTTGAGGAGGAAAAAAGAGCCTTACAGGAAAAGTAGAGGATTTCCCCAGAGCTTATCTATCTGTGCCGTCAGTTGAGGCTTGTAGTTTTCACTTGTAATTTGTGACACTGTTGTGTAGGGGCAGATGGATTAGTCCAAATCTAAACTTCAGGAACTTGCAAAATTGAACCACACATTTGCCCAGAGCAGGCTTTGGAACTTCTGGTTTTGGCTCAGATGAAGGAAGACAGAAGCAAACAGAAAAAGAAAAAAGCCTTTATGCTGCCACATTCTCTTTCTTTCTGATTCTTCTCTAATTGGGAGTCTTGAAAATGACAAAAGTGTTCATATGAAATGAAAGGTGATTTGAGCAAATCAGACTTTTTTCCAAGCTCTCAAACAATTTTGAATAAAGTTTGTGTTTTCCAAGAGTTCTTATTCTACCTTGCCCAGGTTATCTGAGCCTGGTGATTACTGCCTTCTTGTATCACTCTGAAGGCTTTATACTTAGGGTGACCATATGTCCTGTGTTGACCAGGACAGTCCCGGAATTTATAGGCTGTCTCAGTCTCCTGGCCATTGGAGAAAATGAAAGCAAAAGTCCTGGACTGGGGAGAACCTGGGAGTCTTGTGTGTGTGTGTGTGTGTGTGTGTAGCTGTCAAGACACACAGAGGAGCATGATGCCTTCGTCACCAGAGCCAGGGCTGCGGGCTGAGGGTGCTGTGTGGTCTCTGTCTGCCTCCTGTTGACTCACGTCTCTGGAGCCGTCCCAGCACCTGCAGCCACATCCTGGACCTGCATCTCTGAGCTGGGGCAGGCTGAGCCAGCTGCTTCGCAGGCCCCATGCTAAGAGCCCAGCCCCATCCCAGTCACACCCTGCCGTAACTATGGAGGGGATTGTGAAGTCAGCATTTGCTGCGCTCATCCGGCCTGGAGGCACACAGCCAGGATGCAGCTGCAGGTGCTGGGATGGGTCCAGAGCCATGAGTCAGACAGAGCTCCTGGCCGGGGCCCCACCGCCAGCCCACAGCTCCAGTGAGAAAGGCACTGTGCTCTCTGTTCCAGCCCTGGCCTGGAGCACATACACGAGTGTGCGTGTGTGTGCGTGCCCACCTCCCCCACTGTACCTTCCCCATCCCAGATTTCCCTAAAATAACTATGGTCTCCCTGTTTATACTGCCACCCATCACTGTTGTAATCAGGGCACCTTCTACACAAAATTAGTAGCGTGAGTGGCATCCTAGTGGATTTAATGGAGTCTCTGGCTTTTTTCCCTTTGGGGGTAAAAATCCTATTTGGGCTTTTGTTTAAATTGCCTCTTTCAAAAAGGTTGATTCAGTGGAAGGGGATATCAGTGTTGTGAGCTTCTTCCTCATGGTGGAAAGGCAATGTCTGAGGGGTTTTCTGTCTTCTACCGATAGAAATGAACAAGTTGACTCGTACAACTGGCATTCACACAACAGAGGTGAAATTGAGGCTCCACCAACCAAGCACCCAAACTCAGGTGGAATGGAGATGAGACAAATGATGGCAGAAGTGGTAAACATAGTCAGGTTTGTTTGATGATCAGAAATTGTATTCTGCTGAATGCCCCATTTCTAGGGTCAAATTCAAATTCATAGTGGATCCCTGACATTCATACACTGGTCTTCTGCATTCCTCACCTTATTTGGCTGGAGGAACAACACAGGATCCCTGTTGTCTGCCAGGGCTCATCACTCTACCTTTGCACTGTTGCTTGGTTGATGACTGCTACAGAGCAAAAAGCAGGTGTGACTGTAGTGACAGCAGGCAGGCCTGGGCCAGCTTCAGTCTAACCTAGAATAAGTAATAAGATCAGTGAAGACACCAGCAGCACAGAATAGCAACTGGTGTATGAAACAGGGTTCCTTGAGGGACAGCCTGTGCCACCCTGTCTTCACTGCAGTTGTGACTTGTGTCACCCAGATGGGAGCAAGGGAGAGTTTTTAACCTTTCTTTGCCAGAGATGAAATCAAAGCTCAGGTTGACTGCTTGTGGAAAGAACTTCAGTATGTAAAGAGAAGCACTGGGTGAGTGTGAAGGGACAGGACTTGGTGACAAGGTAAAACTTTGTGATTCTGCAGCTCAAGGACCTGTGATGGAAAGCAAGTCTTGAAAGTTCCTGAGAAGGTTTTTCTTCCTTCAGGCTTGCAGAAAGCTCTTGGGTGTTGATACAAAAAACATTCACTTGCCCAATGGCTGAAGAGCTACTGTGTATGTACATAGAGCTCCTGAATGGACAGCCTGTGCCACTCTGTTTTTACTACAAGCATGACCTGAGCCAGCCAGATGGGAGCAAGGGAGAGTTTGCCTACATGTTCTCCAACGGTGGGGGGAATATGGGCCAGATCCAGCCTACTGAAAGATTTTGTGCAGCCTGTGGTGGGTCCCTTGGTCCCACCCAGCTCAGATGCAGGGGGGAGCCCAGGCTGTTGTGCCTTCAGCCAGTCCCACTGCCCCCAGGCGCACAGCAGGGCTGGGGAGGTGCAGCAGCCAGACGTTCTTCCTGGCAGCCCCAGCGGTGGCGGCTTCGTCCTGCTGCCACCACTGCCAGACCCAGCTGGAATCCAGGGGAGCAGCATCCAGGAGCAGGACAGGTGGGCACATGGGTGGGAATAGGACTGGGATCGCAGGGCCCTGGTCCTGCACTGGCACTGCCCCGTGATCCCAACCCCTGCCCTGCCTGCCCTTCTTGCCCTGCATGCCACTTCTCACCCACCCACAGCCCCGTCTCGAGCAAGCACAGAGCAGAGCCGTGATCCTCTGCCCACATGCCCCTGTGATGGGCACTGGTTCTGTGGGCAGGGGTGTGCGGAGAGCAGATCTCAGCTCTGCCCCTGGCCCAGCCCAGCATTGTCACCACTCTGCGATCCAGGGGTATCCAGGGGTCTCCACGGAAACCGGCGGGGATCTGCCCAGGCAGGGTGCATGGCCAGGCAGACAGGAAGCAGCCACTGAAGGAGTTTGGTGAGCTGTTGTGTGTGCGCATGCTGACCCAGCCTGTGGCAGCTCACCAAAACTCCCTGTGTGGCCTGCAGCCCCGTGTAAGTGTCCACCCCGTTCTAATGACATGCCTTTGCTTTCCCGGTAGACATATCCCTGAGAGACAGCTTATAGCTGAGGTCATGAGAGGTCTCTCACATGGCAAAGCGGAGCAATGACCTCTAAACCTGTGGGCTAATCAAGCTATATTTGTAACCATGTCTATTTTGACTCTCTTATTATTTTTCAGAAGAGTTAGCCAAGAATTTTTGGGAGAGGGCCTTAGCTTTTGCAGACTGTGCTACTTCAATTAATATTTGTTTTACCAACTCTAACCCTTTTTAACCTTTCTGTGCCTGACAGATGAAATCAAAGCTCAGTTTGACCACTTGTGGAAAGAACTTCAGTGTGTGAAGGAAGACATTAGGTGCGTGTGAAGGGACAGGACTTGATGACGATGTAAAATGTTGTGATTCTGCAGCTCAAGGACCTGTGATGGAAACCAAGTCTTGACAGTTCCTGAGGAGGTGTTTCTTCCTTCAGGTTTACAGAAAGCTCTTGGGTGTTTGTTACAAAAGCATTCACCTGCCCAGTGGCTGAAGAGCTACTGTGTATGTACTCAGGGCTCCCGGAGGGACAACCTGTACCACCCTGTCTTCACTGCAGTTGTGACCTGTGCCAGCCAGATGGGAGCAAGGAAATGTCTGCCTATACAACCTAGTCATACCTTTGCTTTCCAGGTAGACATATCCCTGAGAGAGAGCCAATAGCTGAGGTCATGAGAGGTCTCTCACATGGCAAGGCAGAGCAACAACCTCTAAGCCAGTGGGCTAATAAGATATATTTATAACCATGTCTATTTTGACTCTTTTGTTATCTTGCCAAGATAACAGTTAGCCAAGAATTTTAAGGAGAGGGCCTTAGCTTTTGCAGACTGTGCACTTTGAATTAATATTTGTTTACCAACTCTAACCCTTTTTTACCATTCTGTGCCTGACAGATCAAAGCCTGACAGACATGAAATCAAAGCTCAGTTTGACCACTTGCCTGAAGAACTTCAGTGTGTGACGGGAAGTGCTAGGTGAGTGTGAAGGGACAGGACTTGATGACTGAGAAAAACTCTAATTCTGCAGCTCAAGGATGCATGATGAAAACTAAGCCTTGAAAATTCCTGAGGAGGTTTTTTTATTCCCCTACAAACTTAAAGAATGCTCTTGGGTGTTGATATTAAAAGCATTCACCTGCCCAGTGGCTGAAGAGCTGCATTGGCACAGAGCAATCATAGAATCATAAAAAGTGAGGGTTGGAAGGGACCTCAAGAGGTCATCTAGTCCAACCTTCTGCTCAAAGCAGGACTGGCCCCAACCAAATCATCCCAAAGCTTTGTCTAGCCAGATTTTGAAAAGCCTCAAGGCTGGAGCTTCCACCACACCTCTGGGTAACCTCTCTAGGTAACCTGTTTCAGTGTTTTACTACCCTCCTAGTGAGAAAATTCATCCTAATATCTAACCTAAACTTCCCTTGCTGCAACTTGGGACCATTGCTCCTTGTTCTGTCATCTGTCACCACTGAGAACAGTCCAGTTCCATCCTCTTTGGAACCCCCCTTCAGGTAGTTGAAGACTGCTATCAAATCCCCTCTCAGGCTCCTATTCTCTAGACTAAATAAGCCCGATTCCCCCAGTCTTTCCTCATAAGTCATGTCCTCCCCCCCAAGCCCCATCGCCATTTTTTGTCACCCTCTGCTGGACTCTCTTCAATTTGTCCACATCCTTTCTGTAGTGGGAGGCCTAAAACTGAACACAGTACTCCAGATGTGGCCTCACCAGTGCGGAATAAAAGGGAATAATCACTTCCCTTGACCTACTGGCAGCACACCTATCAATGTAGCTCAGTATGCCATTAGCCTTCTTGGCAAAAAGGGCACACTGCTGGCTCATATTCACCTTACTTTCTACTGTGACCGTCCGGGTCCTTTTCTGCAGAGCTGCTGCCCAGCCCATCAGCCCTCAGCCTGTACTGGTGTGTGGGATTGTTCCATCAAAGTGCAACACTTTGTACTTGTCCTTGTTGAATCTCATGAGCTTCCTTTTGGCCCAGTCCTCCAATTTGTCTAGGTCACTCTGAATCCTAGCCCTACCCTCCAGTGTATCTACTACTCCCCACAGCTAGGTGTCATCTGGACACTTGCTGAAGGTGCACTCTATTCCACCTTCCAGGTCATTGATGAAGACATTGAACAAAACCAGCCCCAGGACTGACCCCCTGGGGCTGCCACACGGGTGGGCAAAATGCGGCCCGCAGGCCTCATGCGGCCCACCAGGCGATTCTATCCGGCCTGCAGGGCCCCTAAAAAATTTAGAAAATTAATATTTATCTGCCCCTGGCTGCCTGTCATGTGGCCCTCGATGGCTTGCCAAAACTCAGTAAGCAGCCCTCCGCCCGAAAAAATTGCCCACCCCTGGGATGCCAACTAAACATTGAGGCATTGGTTACTACTGTCTGAACCCAATGCTCCAGCCAGTTTTCTGTCCACCTTACAGTCCATTCATCCAGCCCATATTTCCTTAGCTTGCCTGCGAGAATGCTGTGGGAGACAGTATCAAAAGCCTTGCTAAAATCAAGGTACACCACATCCACCAGTCTCCCTGCTTCCACAAAGCCACTCATTTCATTATAGAAGGCAATCAGGTTGGTCAGGCATGACTTGCCCTTAGTGAAGCTGACTGTTCCTAATCACCCTCTAAGGAAATGGAGCTCCATTTCTTCTGCTTGACCTCAGCCTCCCATGTTGGGCCTTTGGATTGCCACTATCTTCAGTTAGTCCTTCAGGGTAAATATGTCAATTCTATACTCCATTAGCACCTTACTAGGTATCCTGGAATTATGCAAGTTATGACATAGCATGGTGGCTTTCCATAGCAAACAATTTGCTGAATATATAATGATCCCATAAGCAGCAGCCACACATCCTGACTAAGAAAAGGCAAGTGGTAAATTGTCCTTTGGCAGAAACTGTGCATAGCTATAGTGGTAGACAAGGTTCTTTGGGTGATATCTTTTATTAGACCAACTTAAATAGTTGGAAAAAAAATTTAAACAAGCTATAGTGGTAGCATGTGCTGCTCCTGGGACTATAGGAAAGTGAGAGTCTTGTATTTCCTAGGCATGGCCTTCTAATAGCTACTCCCAGGGTGGTACTGGCAAGCTCAGAGAGGCCATCTGGGCTGCTGGTGAGAGTGGCAGGGTGTTAAGTCACTGCAGGGGTAGAAAAGGGGTGGTAGCTTTAAAATGTAACTTAAAATAAATGCCAGGGATAAAATGGAACAGTGAAGTCCGAAAAATTAAGAGCAGTGATGAATCAGATTCAACTAGCTCAGTTGCAGCAAGCACTCAGGTAATTTTCTGAGTTTTATCTGAGTCCCACACAAATTGGCTGGAAATCCATTGAGATCAGGCTCTACTGGGAAATTTCCCTTACTGGTCAAATATTGATTGCAGTGAAAGCAGCCTCTCTCTAGGTATTTCATAGCTTCCAAATGTGATCAGAGTAAGGAACTACAGAAAAAGCCAAGGATGAAACTGGAGGAGGAATGAAATAGCTAAAGGAACTTTTGTAAACCTTCTTTCTTTCAAAGTCTTTTCTAGTTTTACATGCAGTTGACATGGGCCAAAGCTTCAGATTGTTTCTAGAATCTAATGGATGATATAGCAGCTCAACCAAAGTTCAGGTTTTTCTTCAAATTCAGGTCACTTAAGGGCCAGGGCTTAAGTTCAGCCTGTTCTAGGAGGTGGTTATAAAGTCACAATCCAAATCTGGCTTCAAATTTCCCCAGTTTTTCACTATTTTTTCATGTATCCAGATTAGTTTCTTTCATCTCCAGAGCCAGAGTTGGGCAATAGTATCACACTCTGTGGGAGAGACAAGCAGTGGCTGACAATCCTTCCAAATAAATTTCTCACCTAAAACTTGGCAATGCTGGACCTGACCCTGCCTTATTAAAGTGGTTTTGGCTGCTTGCAGATGTTAAAAAAAACATGCCCCCTACCAGAAGAAGCAGCACATTACTTCAGTCTGGCTCTGCAGTGTCTATATAGATTGGGTGCTTCAGCAGGGCTTTTTGGCACTTTTAGCTAAAGCTGATTCAATCAGCTATTAGATAAAAGCACTAAAACAGCCCCACTAAAGCACCCAGTCTTTACAGACATAGAGTGACCTGGGCTGAAGTAACATGCTGTCTCTTCTGGGTGTGCACGGGGCTCAGCATGGAAACCTGCCAGGCTTAAAATGCCATTTGTGTGTTTGTTTTTTATATCTGCAAGCACCCTTAGAGTTGATGCTCCTGTCCAGAGGTGCTGGATGAGACCTGCAGATTACAATGCACTTAGGTACAGTCCTAAACAAAAAGAACCCCTGCAGAAGCTAATCACATCTATTATATAGCTTTAGTATATTCAGCCAAGTGGCAAATAACTGTACCATGACATTGCACTAATACTAGGTTTACCACATTCTAAGGCAAGCCCTCCCTTCCCCCCCCAATTTAATGTGGGGGAAAATGCTCCTTGTCTTAGAATGATGTACAGGGGGGCAGGTGGCTGCTATGACTTGGACTTCAGCCCCTACCTGGGGTTCAGGCCATAGCCACAGCTGCTGCCTACTCCCCCACTTCCTCTGCACCCTGCCATCTCCCCCTGCAGCCTCTTCCCTCCCATCTCCTCCCACCGCATAGTCTCTGCTCTCCCACTTGCCCCTCTCCCTTCCCCACTTACCTTTGCTTCATGCACACTGCAGCCTGGAGCCCAGCCTAATCCCACAGCAGCAGCAAACAACCCACACAAGCTGCTATGGGTGCTGAACTAGGGCCATGCTCAGTGCCTACCCCAGGCTAGAGTGGGGACAGAGCCTGCTGGCACAGACCAGGCAGTGGGGAGGGAGGTGCAGAGAGAGAGCAGAGGCTGAGGTAGGTGAGGTAGCATAGGATGGGAGAAACAGGGAACCCAAGGCTGCAGGGGGGCAGAGGAGGCAAGGGCTTAGGCACAAGCAGGGGGAAGCTGTTTGACCTTCCCACACTACCTGCCTCTCCACTGCCTGCACCCCTGCAGCACTGGGGGAATGGATTTAAGATAACCCCCCAATAATTAGATTCGATACATAGAAAATTGCAACAAATTTATAAATTCATGTACAGAATCTAATTAGTGGGAGATTGTCTTAAATTCAGGGTCATCTTAGATTCGAGTAAATTTGTAAGAACACCACTACTCGACACTAGTTCTGTGGTTCTCAACCTTTTTTTGACTTAAGCCACCCCTCCAAAATTTCTGTGAATTGAGTGGCACCCAGCTGCAAAAACTAATTTATATATTACAGCACTTATTTGCAGAGAGGCTAGGCAGTAGGGGTGAGGGATCTGTCAGGCAAGGACAAGACCTGAGCCTACACTTCTCTGCTTATCTCCTCACACCTTACTTATCTCGTTACACCTCACAGCACCCCTCAAAGGATCTGTCAGCACCCCAGGGTGCCCCAGCACCCTGGTTGAGAATCACTGCTGTTGCTCAAACTGACTGCAGGTGGTCAGAGCAGCTGGTGGCGTCGCAGCATTTCACGCTAAATATACATGTGTGTCAGTCACTGTCCTGCAAGCTGCATATGTAGAATGGACTGGCAAAAAGCTAGGGCTGTCTTTTAACTCCTTGGATGAGTAGCTATCCCTAGTCTTGTCATGGGCATAATTTGATGACCAGTAATTTTTTTCCTACACATCTCTTTCAGCCAATGTTTCATCACGGTCAGCCGAGAAAAATGTCATGAGAAGGAGGAAGAGTATAGAAAGCTGAAGGAGGAAAACAAAGCCTTACAGGAAAAGTAGGAGGATTTATAAACATTTCCTCCAAAGCGTCTCTCTATGCCAATGGTTCTTGCTTCCCCTAGTGGTATAACCCCCTCTGTATCTTTAAAACCCCACAGGACCTTTCCCAGATTCCTAGCCCCTTAAAAAGGGTGTGTGTGCTACTGGAGGCTGTGACATGGTTACCCAGGGAAATAAAGCAAGTGCTGTTCTGCTCACATTAGCTGCCACCTGTAGAATAATAATGTGAGAGTGGTACCATATTTTCCTTCACACAACCTGCCCATTTTCCCCAAAACCACTTGGAGAAAATTGAAGTGTACATTTATATACAAGGAAAAGGGCTTCACTTGGCCCTGAGCATTTGGTGGGGGAAGGGAGATGTGGAATGGCTGCAACATTACTTGCCTCCATTCTGAGGACTATGGCAATGAACACTGCCTTTACTCTCTCTCCCCTGCCACCACCAAATTTCCAGACATGTAAAAAGCACCCCCACCCCCAACTGCATGCTGGCACCTGGGCCATGTGCTAGATTGGACCTGATGTGCTGAGTCCAGAACCATGCACTCACTGTGGGACTGCATGACATGTCTGACCCAGCGTGTAGCTCCAGAGCCAGTGTGAAGTCCTGGACTTTGCATGCAGCTCCAGGGCCAGCAGCATGGTCAGATCCATTCCACCATCCTAGAGCTGGCTTGCTGGATTGGACCTCAACACATATCCCCAGGGGCCAGCACACAGGTTTAGGCTGGTGCATGGTCCCCAGCCCTGGAGCCTACAAACCTCAAAAACTTACCCATACTACTCCAAGGTAAGATTTTTTTTTTTGTCTTTCTTGGGGCCTTTCAAAAATAAGGTATGTGTTATATCTGGGGGTGTGTTGTATGGGAGAATATATGATTTCCAACCCCCACCCCTGTCAGGGGGAAAAAAAACCTGGCAAACCAGGATACTTGCCTATCAGGGGAGTGTCAGGTTCTGGGGAATGCACAGTCAAGACAGAAGTTACATAGTGTTTCATGAAGTCCTTCAGGGCAGTTATTTATCACCAGGCATTTATTAGTTACTGTTCATTTATGTCTAGCACTTTGCGACATGTATACACACTTTTCTAACCCTACTTTGGCCTTAGATTTCAGTCAGTCTTGGCCAAGACCGTGAGAAGTCACAGGTCCTCTGAGGACCTGAATGACCCAAGTCGAGAGTCGGCTGTGTTGGAGAGAGATCACATGCTTCAGACACAAGAGTGGGCAAAAGCCAAATATGCCACAAGCAGCTCCTTCTTTCCTTTGAGGAATACCAATAGCGGGACCATAATTCAGGTTTGTTCATCTTCATATCATAGAACTGCAATATGCAAATGTGGACTAAGTGGTAGCATTGCAGGCCATCAGGCTGGGTCAGAGCATTTCATACTTTCATTCTCAGGTAAGATATTCAGTTGCAACTTCTTGTTTTCCAGCCCAGAGAGATGAAGCTATGAGCGTGCTGGACTCTTCTGGTATTCCAAACAACAAGTGCAGTTCTTAGTCCCGTATCTCCCACCAAGCAGGTGTCAGCCCGGCATGGTGCAGCATGTAGTCTGGCTTCCTTCCTTTAGGCCTTAATAGCAGATGAGGCTTTCTTTAAACAGGTAGAAGAATTTTCCTGATCACAGGCACTGGCTCTCATGGGGGACTTCAATCACCCTGACATCTGTTGGGAGGGCAATACAGCAGTGCACAGGCAATACAATAAGTTTTGGAGAATGTTGGGGACAACTTCCTGGTGCAAGTGCTGAGAGGCCAACTAGGGGCTGTGCTCTTCTTGTTGACCTGCTGCTCATGAACAGGGAAGAATTGGTGGGGGATGTACTAGTAGTAACTTGAACAGGAGCAACCACAAGATGACATAGTTCAGGATCCTGAGGAAATGAAGAAAGGAGAGCAACAGAGTTAGGACCCTGGACTTCAGAAAAGCAGACTTGGACTCACTCATGGAACTGACAGGCAGGATCCCCCAGGACACCAGTCTGAGGGGGAGAGGAGTCCAGGAGAGCTGGCTGGACTTTAGAGAAAACACAAAAACAAACCATCCCAATGTGCGGGAAGACTAGCAAGTGTGGCAGAATCATAGAATCGTAGAAAGTTAGGGTTGGAAGGGACCTCAAGAGGTTATCTAATCTAACCCCCTGCTCAAAGCAGGACTATCCCCAGCTAGATCATTCCAGCCAGGCCTTTGTCGAGCCAGGCTGTAAAACCTCCAAGGATGGAAATTCCACTTACACATGCAAAAGACCAACATGGCTTAGCAGGGAACTCTTCAATAATCTAAAACACAAAAAAGAATCTTAGAAGAAGTGGAAACTTGTACAACCAACTAGGAAGGAGTATAAGAGTATTGCTTGGGAATGCAGGGATGAAATTAGGAAGCCCAAAGCACAACTGGAGTTGCAGCTAGCAGGGTATGTGAAGGGTAACAAGAAGGGATTCTACAAATATGTCAGCAACAAGAGAGAGAGCAGGGAAAGTGTGAGTCCTTTACTTAATGGGGGAGGCAACCTAGAGACAGAGAATGCAGAAAAGGCTGAAGTGTTCAATGCCTTTTTCACCTTGGTCTTCACAAGTAAGGTCAACTTCCAGACTACTGCACCAGGCAGCACAGTTTGAGGAGAAGGTGAGCAGCCAACAGTGGCAAAAAACAGATTAGGAACTCTTTAGAAAAGCTAGATGTGTACAAGTTCATGGGGCCAGACAGAATGAACCCAGGGTGCTGAGGGAGTTAACTGATGTGATTGCAGAACTGCTGGCCATCATCTTTGAAAACTCCTAGTGATCGGGAGAGGTCTCAGATGATTGAAAAAGGGCAAATACAGAGCCCATATTTAAGAAACAGAAGAAAGAGGATCCAGGAAACTACAGACCAGTCAACCTCAAAGCAGTCCCTGGAAAAAAAACATGGAACCAGGTCCTCAAGGAATCCATTTCTAAGCACTTGGAGAAGAAGGTGATTAGGAACAGTCAGCATGGATTCACCAATGGCAAGTTATGCCTAACCAACCTGATTGCCTTCGATGATGAGATGAGTGGCTCTGTGGATGCAGGGAGACCAGTGGATGTGGTGTACCTTGACTTTAGCCAAGTTTTTGATAAAATCCAGGACATTCTCAAAAGCAAGCTAAGGAAGTATGGGTTGAATGAATAGACTATAAGGTAGATAGAAAAAACTGGCTGGGTCATCAGACTCAGAGGGTAGTAGTCAATGGCTCAATGTCTAGTTGGAAGCTGGTATCAAATGGAGTGCCCCAGGGGTCAGTCCTGGGGCTGGTTTTGTTCAATATTTTCATCAGTGACCTGGAAGATGGCATAGAGTGCACCCTCATAAGTTTTCAGATGACACTAAGCTGGGGGGAGTAGTAGATACGCTGGAGATTAGGGCTAGGATTCAGAGAGACCTTGACAATTTGGAGGATTGGACCAAAAGAAATCTCATAAGGTGCAAAGACCTGCACTTAGGATGGAATAATCCCATACACCGCTACAGGCTGGGAACCAACTGGCTAAGTAGCAGCTCTGTTGAAAACGACCTGGGGGTTAAGGTGGACAATGAGCTAAATATGAGCCAACTGTGTGCCCTTGTTGCAAACATAGCTAATGGCATACTGGTCTGCATTGGTAGGAGTGTTGCCAGCAGATCAAAGGAAGTGATTCTTTCTCTCTATTCAGCACTGGTGAGGCCACATCTGGAGTACTGTGTCCAGTTTTGCACACCCCCCCCCCCCCCCCCAGGATGTGGACAAGTGGGAGGGAGTCCAGCAGAAGGCAACAAAAACAGTGATAGGGCTGTGGCACATGGCTTCTGAGGAGAGGCTGAGGGAACTGGGCTTATTTAGTCTGAAGAAGAGAAGACTGAGGAGGATTTACAAGTATGTCAGCAACAAGAGGGAAAGTGTGAGTCCTTTACTGAATGGGAAGGTAACCTAGTGACAGTGTGCAGAAAGGCAGCTTCAACTACCTGAAGGGGGTTCCAAAGAGGATGGAGCTGGACTGCTCTCAGTGGTAGCAGATGACAGAATAAAGAGCAATGGTCTCAAGTTGCAGCAAGAGAAGTTTAGGTTAGATATTAGGAAAAACTCTCTCACTAGGGGGATAGTAAAACACTGGAACAGGTTACTCAGACAGGTTATGGACTCTCCATCTTTGGAAGATTTTTTAAGACTTGGACAGACAAAGCCTTGACTGGGCCAGTTTGGTTGGGGCTGCCCCTGCTTGGAGCAGGGGGTTGGACTACATGGCTTCCTTAGGTCCCTTCCAGCCCTCATGTCCTATAATTCTGTGATTCGGTGCTCTATACCGATAACTCAGGGAGCTGATTTTGAACGCTAACTTTCTGTTCCAGTGCTGAGTGCTCTAGGGGAAAATTACCATTGTAAAAGAGGATAGAAGAGATTCACAGAAATGGGGTGAGTGCTGTCAGAGATAGGTCCCCACTGGCACTCAGTGCATCAAGTCTTCACCTATATCTTAGTTAATTGAGGGCTTTAGCATTTCAGTCACCTTGAATCCACACAAGTAAACTTACAATCAGCTGACCTCTCTGATGTAGATGAGGTTCAAATCTTGTACATTAATCTACACCATGCTTCTAGCCTAATTGCCCTTGCTATTCACTGTGGTATTATGTTTGCTCTGTAGATGGTGTTTTCCAAATGTGAAGAAAATATTAAAAATAAGTTGGCTCGAATCTCCAGCTTCCTTCAGTGTCCTGCTCTGACTGAAGCCAGTGGCGCCACCAGCAGCAAACAGGTATTTAATATGAGAGCAGAGCAGAGCTCTGCTTGCTGCAGCCTGACTCAGACACCAGGTAGCATGGCTGTGTCTGCCAGCCCTCTAGCATTTCATCCTCACTAGGGAGATTTTACTGAGGTGTCTCCCTGTTAAAACTAGTTCACCTTCACCAGCTGGATGTTCGGATGCAGACAGGCAGTTTCTAGTGGAAACAGTTGTGAGCTGTGAAGGGCAGGCAGCAGGGAGGGGAGAGCTGTTATTGGGGTGACAGGAGACTGGACCCAACTAAGATGTGTCATGTGACTGAGGGTGCAAGAGCAGGACTCTTGGACCTAATTTTAAACTAGCTGCACAGAGCTCTAGGGCAGTCTAATTTGCCATGACTTCTGTGACTGCAGGAGAGCCATAAACTGGGAGTTTAGATCCCACTGTCACTGGAAGGTGCTTACCAGCACAGCCTTCCTAACCCTTTCTCTCTATTTGGGTGCTTGCCCAAGTCCTTGCAAGTAGAAGTTGTCCCATCACCACTGGAAACACATCCCTTTAACAGGGTCAACAGTCAGGAAATATATTATCCCTATTTCACTTCATCTGCTTTGTTCCTTTGGTTTGTAGACCTCTGAGCTGGTAAGAGAGATAAGGAATCACCTTAGAAATCTCTATTTTAACTACTCAGAAGCCATATACAGACAATGGGGTGAGGTGAGTAAAAACAAAGCCTGAAGAAGGGGAGGGGGACCCGTTTTCACCCATCTCTGAAACTCCAAGAGTCTTGTGTCCTGTATGTTCCTTTCCAACTCTTCCTTGGGGAAGAGGTTCTCCGATCCCCAAGAATACACTTACCCATCTCTACTTTCCTCTATCTCCTTTAAAAGCTTCATGTTGGGAAAAGCTGAGCTGAGAAGCTCTAAATCAGGGGTCAACAATGTTTTTGGGCAGAGTGCCAAAAAACCCACATCCTCAACTTGTAAGATGTTGGGGTGCCAGCGGTGAATGGTGGGGGAGCTGTGAGGGGCCCAATTCTTGTTGTGGCAGCACAGTCCCAGCCCCTTCCCCGCCACCCACCCCAAGGCATGCATGCACCCACCACCAGCAACAAGGTAGGCTGGGGCTTCGCAGACCCTGGTGCAGCTGCGTGCAACCTCCCGGCTGCCTGCCACAGCCAACCCAGGCTCTGAGCAGGCCCTTGCAGCTGGCCACAGAGCTCAGGCGGCTTCTCCAGCAAGCGTTCATCTGCTGCCAGCAGTGAACTGGGCCGGATCTCCATGAACCCTCCTGTAGCTGCTCACAGCAGCCTGCAGCTGCATGCCAGTAGCTCAGGCTCCATGGCCACTGGCAGGGGCCTGCCCAGAGCCCAGGCCAGTTGTGGCATACCAAGCAAAATGGCTTCATATGCCACACTCTGGCACCCAGGGCAGGGGTCACTGACCCCTACTCTACATGTTCCTCCCTTGGCCCCTATTAATGCGAGTACAGGCTTCAGAAAGGCAGCTAGCGATAGTCTTCTGAGAGCAGGATATATACTCTGATGCTTTGCATAGGACTGTGACAGTGGGTGGGTGGAACTCTTCTAGCAACAGTGATCCAGGTCTCTGATACTCCAGCTACCTGCAGCTGAGGTGGCATTTCCTACAGCTCAGCCTTGTCCAGCCTTCTGCAGAGCTCTGAGTCAGTGTAAGGGGAGAAAAAGCATCCCCTGGCAGACCACGGAGCATGAGGAGCTGGCATGGAGAGCTGTGCGAAATGCTCTGCCAGTGCAACAGGTGCTCTATCGCTGGGGACTCACTCGGCCCCCCAAGTGCCCAAGGGAGCTCTGCGATGAGCCCGAGTCAGTGACACATGTGCTATGGGACTGCTTTTACGTGCAAAGGGTGTGGGGGAAGGTGACTACCTATTTGAAGGATACGGGAAGGGGAACGGGGGTCACTTCCAGAAATGTTCTCTATGGTTTATCAGAGGGGACGGATGGGACATGGGGGGTGAGGGTTTTAATCACATGCACCAAAGTAGCACTTTGGAAAGTACGCTCCTTGTTGGCTCTAAAGGGGTGGTGCTTTTCCACGACGGAGTGTCTGCAGTTAGGAATGCATGAGCTGC